TGGGGAAAGAGCAAGGGGCAGCCCGAGCCCTGTCTGGGCAAGACAAGGTCAGCTGAGGAGCAATGAGGAGGCTCACAGCCTCCCACAGCCGCGGCTCCTGGCTGGCCCCTGCCAGCTGCCCTGAGCACGGGCACCATGTGGGAGCCTGTGGTGCCCCAGATGTGCACGGAGAGAGGGGTAGGATGCTCAGGACACAGGCCAGGAGCTGCAGCAGAGCAGGGAGCAGCCCCAGCTGCCGGGGCAGGGCGGGAACAGGCGCTGGGTGTGACAAAAACACGATGGGGACTGGACACCAAGGGAGATGCCAGACAGAGAAACGAAGGTACAGGTCGGGGGGAAGCATCAGACAGTCACAGCTGATTTGACTAAAGAGAAACATACGGGCAGAGAAAAGTGCTGCTTATCCTGAGGGACTTCATACAAGTATGATCAAAAATCACTGTAACACTATTGGAAAGAAAACCACTGTCCTCAGGACAAGTCTCTGTAAGAAACATTCATTGCCTTGGCAGAAATGGGAAACAAATGCTCTCAGTGATGCCTCTGGGTATCTCTACATGTAAAACTGCATAAAACTTTAGCAAACAGTCACAGAACCACATGAAAAGGTCACATTTCTTGAAGTTAGGGTTTTTTTTCAGGTTTTGGTTTGGGTTATGCTTTCAGTTGGTTGTTTTAAAAGTACTGCAAACACAGAAGGGTGGGTTGTAGAGAAGCCAGGGAATTAGAGGTTAGTCCAGTGTAAAGTAATGGAAAGACAATCCAAAAATAGGCCTGTAGTTATGGCCTCCAATTTTAAAGGACCAATTTTAAGAAAATAAAGAAACGGAGTAACACTGCACTCAGTGGTCACAGTATGGATCATCAGGAATAACAGAAAATACCTGTAGTTCCAAAAAATCCCATAAACTTCATGAATGTGAATCACCAGTAGGGAAACCATCTGGGAGAAAAGAATCCCAAACCTAAGTGGATAAATGTTCACTTTGAGAAGGATGCTGAGCACAAGGAGAGCACTTACTGGAGGTGAAAAGGACCTGCTCAGCATAGAGCTGGGTACCCGAGGATGGCAAGTACAGGCACCAAGTGAACTTTTAAACTTGTTCTGTCTTTGGACGCAGCGCAAAGGAAAGAGCAGGCTGGGCTTTCAGCTACAAGTGCATGAGAACAGCACGGGAGGACACTGTGCAGAAAGGCAGACTGAGATACAAAGGTTGTCCTTGTCTGCACATGATGGGACAGCTTTGAGGAATATTCCACCTCACCTAACTTGGGAGGTTGGTGGGGTGGAAGAAAATATCTGCCCATGCCTGGGTGTGCACTGTCCCCATGTCAAGGCCCTTGGGATGGATGCCTTTGTGGTCAGGTCTTCTCATCAAGTCAAAGTCCAAGTCCAAAGGCCTACTTCAGGATCTTTTAACTTGCACTTTGACTGCACTAGTACCTCCTCCCCCCCTTCAGAGAGTGCCAACACAACCAGCTCAGGTCCTGATGCCTCTGTGACACCCAGACAAATGCATTCAAACCCAGAAAAATGTGTTCAAACTAATTCCACCCCTCACTTCCAGTCACAGCCATGCTGAACACCAGAGGAAGGCTCAAAGATTAAAACGAGAGGAATGAAAATATACACCACTGACTAAGAAGTATAAGTCAAGTATCTGAACATACTTGAACTGAGGATGGGAGGATGAGAAAGAAGCCACAACATGACTTAGGGGCTTAGGGACATGAAACCCTGGGGCTGCTACAGCAAAGTCTAACACAACTAAGTGAGGTGCTGCTCAGAGTGACTGAAAACACAGTGCTAATATTAAAAAAAAAAAAAGGCAAAAATTATTTTGGCAATGAAATGCTCATGTCTGACCACAGGCTGGTCAGAAGATCTGAAGGAAAGGGCAAGTAAAATACTGCAGTTAGTAAAATACACATGGCACGAACTGCGGAGGCGCTCACCAGAAGAAATCCCCATGCTCCCATGCTTCCTTATCATGGGAGAACAACTGATCCATCAAAGTGTGGTCAGTCTAATTTAATTGGAATTCAGCAAGGTATCACTGGATACAGAGAACATCAGCATTACAAGAAGCTTTGTTATACACAAACCCATCTGATTTGATGGGAAAAGCAGTTGGCAGAGCCCTGAGTGAGCTCGTAAGGCTGGAGAACAAGTGCTAATGAATTTTCTTCAGGATCATTCTTGAGCCCAATGACATTCAATACTCTTATTGGTAGCTTTGGCACAAATTTCAGAGATTCACTGACAAAATCCGATGGTGTCTTCCCACATCAGGCCAGATAAAGTAGCATTCGAAACGCAGAAAAAAAAATAAATAGAACAGAGTACTAGAAAGGAGGTAAATCCAACAGCAAAACACAGAGGTGTATGTGAAGCATTATCCCATGAGCTGGGAACCTGCAGCTGACAGTATCAGATGAACAGTCTGACCAGAATGTGTTGATGATCACCTGCCATGAGGACACAGTAATGAAAAGCAGCTTCCAGAGACATCTCTTGTCAATATGGTGGTGCCAGTGCTGTGGCACCAGGTCTCCATGAGCTGCTCCCCAGTGTGCTGGGTGGTCACTTCCTGAAGTTTAATTCAAACCATCACTAGATGAGAAGAGCAGAGAGCCTTTCTTAGCAGAGCAGCCAAAAGGCATACTCCCCTAAAGGATACAACTGCTCTCTAACTTCCAGAAGACATTGAACTAAGTTAAGGTAGAAGATGCTAAGACAAGTAGATATGGTTACCAAATTGCCCAAGAATGAATTTAGACTAGAAACTAAAACCTAGTTTCTAAAAATTCACCAAAAACCTCCAGTGGAAAAGCAAAATCCCCAACTCCAGAGTTAATTAAAGCAACACCATATGCTGTGGTGCCTGTAATAACAGGACTCAGAGCGCAGTGGTCCAGAAGGTCCCTCCAGGCCTATGTTTTCAGATGGCTCTAGGTCAGATCTACCTTTTCAGCCCATTCCTGTTCCTACTGGCAGCAATCAGCTTCCCATTTTCTTTGCAAATCTGCTGTTTCCTGATGTTCAGCTTGATCTATTTCCCCTTACATCCATGATTATGCCTTACTAAGCAAGACAGAAAGCCAGGATGCAGCTGACCTAAGGGCTGCTGCAGACCTTCTTTCTGCTCCAAGTACATCTATGAATTCTGCTGTAAAGGTGCTCCTGTAAAGCAAGTTTGTTCTGGGAATTGAGACCAGCTCCCAGTTCTAACCATTTATCATTTTCTGGAAGAATGAGCCCCATTCAGGCACACAATCACCTGTACTGTAGAGGAAACAAGGCAGGACACACAGAGCTGAAGGTGAGACCATGGCAGACTTGACACTTCGTGTAATTTAACCTGACGTAAACCTGCAGCCTCATTTTTCTATGACCAGCCCGAACTTCTCAAAATCACTGGTACTGTTTCTTTGTCCTCACCAGAAGCCACTGTAATGGATAAACAATGCTTATCATCTTCTTTCAGGTGCCTGAGTAAGGTGTTAGGTGACGAGATGCTAAACAATCCCTGAAACACCAGTATTAACTACAGGATGAGGTGTTATTACTTCTCTGGACTTCAGTTAATCTTTTTTTAATCCCTGCAGACACGCCAGAGAAGAGTCAGGATGGGCAGGTTTCAGCATTGTGTGATATCTGGAGTTCTGCCTGAGTTTCCCTAATTCTGACCTTGCTCTTGATACTTTTCTACCCTGCCAGGCATCCCAACTCTTAGCACAGACACCATTAACAGCTCATGGTGCCCAGAAACCACACCAGTGAGCTACAGGATCCTCTCCATCCAAGCCTGCTACCATGTCCAGATCCTGACTCCTCTTCCCCCCATTCTGGTTTTGCTCTGTCTCATGCCAAGAGGGTACTTCCACATTGGAGCATGGGGATTTCTTCTAATTGAGGGTTGCCTAGAGGGGTAACCTCTAGTCCCCATAACTAGACACGGTGGCTCCTGTACTTGCCACAGCAGCCAACCCACTTCCTACAGCTCCTCCTCTTACAGCACAACACAGCTCCCTGCTCCCAGCACTGCTGGCTCCAGCACAGCCCCAGCCTGCAGGCAGCTGGCCCACCAGGAAGGAAGCAGAGAACAGTCACTCTGACACCCTCATGTTCTTTAGACTCTTGCTAATCCCTTCCCCTGAGTATGGGCACTGTATGAGATGCAATGAAACCCTGTGGCATTGGGCTGCTGGCCATAAGCTTCACACTTAGCAACTTTTCCTTAATCAGCTCTTCCTAAATGCTTATCCTTTTACATTAGAAATTCCTTCTTTTTGTGATTTTCGTAATTACGATCAGAGCCACGATTGTCCGAAGAACTAACTTTGGAACGACCTAAAACAGTACAATAGATTTTTGCTTCCTCAGGGGGCAGAAAGGTAGAGGAGGAAGCAAGACAGGAGAGCAGATCAGCATAAGGCACTGCTCAACTACCTGAAAAGGGTGCAGGCAGCTTTTATCCTCAGCACAACTGGCTCTCCTGCAGTGGCTGTTCCTCCAGGGTTTGCTGCTGCTACACAGCACTGCCAGGAAAACTCTGGGTCTTCTGGTTTTCCCCTGCTTTCACTTAGGAGAAACTCTGCAGCCTGATGATCTGCACTGTGGCATGAACTATCTTGCCAGGGGTGTGAGGCTCCAAGGCAGTGGAGTGTTAGCCATGCCAAGACAAACAAATCCACTCATGCCTCAGATCACTGCAGCGCGGCTTCCCAGCACGGATCCACGCTCAGCGAGGGCTGGATGTGCTGCTGCCAGCACTCACAGCCAGCCTGGAAACCACTCTGCTAGGCTTTACTTCCATTTCTAATTACACTCTTCTATTTCTCATGCAGACTTTCACCTTAATTTTTACCTGGATGAAGTCACTATAATCAGATTACAGGAAGCGGGAAGGACTCGGGGACAAGGAGAGGAGGGAAGACAAGGAGACAGCACGGATGAGTGGAACCTACAGGCAGAGATGGAAATCAGACCGACAAGCAGAAAATACAGCAACCTGAATCCTGCACTAAAAGAGCCCTGTGGGCGTGGGCGTGATACTAGGTGTGATGCAATGAACCCTGCAGAGGGCTCTGAAACCCACGCCTGCCTCCTGAGATAAAGACAAAATCTGGGTTAAGACACGGAGCACCTGGAGTCCCTACAGTGCCACCCCCCCCCCAGCTCCTACCTGGTAGATACCTGTCGTGGTCGTACTCGTGTGAGCGCTGCATGTGGCTGTGCTGGGTGAAAGGCTGGTTCCCAAAGAGGTTGTCACTGCGGAGGTTGTGGCAGAGCTTCTCCAGGAAGCGGAGGACATAGGTGATACTGTTTACTGCTGGCAGGTTCAGAGTGTGCTGTTCCCGATCAAACACAGCTGGAGACAGAAACAAACAGAGCCCAAAACGTAAACCCCCTGCAAAGGCAGGAGCCTACGCCCAGGGCTGCACAGCCAGCTTCTGTATCTCAGCATCGCTGGTCTAGACTAGAGCAAACAACAGTCCCTGCCTCTCGCCGGCTGTGCTGAACGGGCTGCCCCGGGACAGGCTGCAACCAGCCTGCTGCACCCAGCTCCGGGCATGGGGCAGTGCTCCAGGGACTGGGAAGGCATTCCAGGAGGGGCCTGCACATCCAGGAGGAGCCTGCACATCCAGGTAAACATCAGGGTATTTCTTGTCTCCATCAGGAGTTCTGAGAATCCCACCTGTTCTGCCTCCTCCTGGGGGCTGGGCAGTGCTGGGGTGAAGCCCAAGGCTGCCCGGCTGGCACCAGGGCTGCCCTCTGCCTTCTCCAGCAGCTCTGCCTGGAGGCCACGCTAACTGCTCTGCAGCAGCTGCCAGATGTTGCTTCACTGACACAGATGTTTGGCATGAAAGTGAAGACAGAAATCAGTTCTGTCTGCCCCTGGCCCAGGACTGCACCAAGCTTCAGGACAGGTATCTTCCAAGGACTGAACTCTTGCAATGACATCGCTGAAGGCAAAGTGCTGCAGGCCAGTTCTCACCTGAGATGACCTCTCCCCCGTGGCCTTGTTTTAAGAAGGAGAAGACTGTTTTCTGATGATAAGCACAATCAATGCAGGCCTGTACTGCTTGCTGCAGGACAACAGAAGCTCGAGCTGGTCCAAAATGGTCTGGCAGCTGCTGAACTTTCTTCTTGTCTAGGTGGGGCCCAGTGCTGCCGTTCTTGTTCAAGTAAATGCAAACTGCCAGGATGAGAAATGTGTTTGCCATTAACCCACTCAAAAAAGTGAGATACAGAGGCCTAAAATTCAACCTGAGAGATGCTGAGGTTTTAAGACTGTCAAGTCATTCACATTGGGGAATCCACCACGACTGCCTGTCTGCATCCTACCAGTGGAGCTGCTGACTGAGAGGAACCACCTCCACCATCTTTCTGCCTCACACTCACCTTCCAAGCTGCTGCTGTTTCTCCTACACTTTCCCCAGAAGTCAGGCTGCAAAGCCAGGTAAGGCAGCTGTGATGTTCAAAAGAGGTGAAGGAACACATCCCTCACTTTCTAGGGAAACTGGGTTCTTTAAGTTCCTCTGAAAACTGGTTATTCTGTTCTGGGGAAACAGAGGGCTCAGCCCATATCCAGTGCTTGACTAAACATAAAAATCAGCTTTGCATTAGACTTTACTGCCCAGATTAATCTTCAGCTACATCTCAGAGCTGTAGCAGAGCATACACTCTGCACTGCTGCTCCTCCTGCTCCCCTGCTTCCTCCTGTTCCCCATATGCCTCGTTATCCTGCCTGGAGCAGAACAGATCCCTGCCACTGTCGCTCTGCATGTTGCTGCAGCTTTAGCAGCTGTGCCTGGCATGGCTGGGGAGAGCTCTGGGCTCTCAAGAGGTGCTGCCCACAGCACTGCCTCTGGGCACCACAAGATTCCCTTCGAGAGCTGTGGAGTCATTAGTGTGCACATGGTAATCCAGGGAAAGGGGTCCCTGCACTGATCAGATGGACCTGCAGCCTTCCTGTGACTTCATGATTTCCAAGATGGACAGAGATAAACAAGCTGATCTGAACTTGTGTGCCTCTCTTCTCCTGACACACTCTCTCTTAGGCAGCCCTTCTGGGATGGTAATGGTTGCTAGAGGAGGGGGTTAGGAATAAATGGGAGCATCTTGGTGTGCTGCTTTCTGACAGCTGCAGCTCCTAAACTGTGCAATCTTGTCAAGAATGTGGTTTGAAACCCTTACCTGTGGGAGCCTGCATGGCAGAGCTGGGGATTGTAGCAGCGTCCTGAGGCACAGTGCTTGTATCTGGTTCTGGGGTACTGGTTGTTGGAGAGGTGGGTGCTGGGTTCAGCAATGTCCTAGGTTTCCTCTGCAGAAAAAGAGGAGATATTTCTCCTTTTACCCCTGCTCTCCCTTACCACCCAGGATCACTACACTCTCCTTTGCATCCAACAGACAAGGTATTGAGGAACATGACACACTTCTGATGATGATGACGGGGAGAATCAAGAACCTAGTAACCAATACATGTGTATTTTATAAACCACAATCCTGAAAAAATAGCAAGCCTGGGATCTGCCACCTCTTCTTGACTGAGGCTAGCTACACACAGTGCATGGAAGAGCTTTCTCCACCATTTGGCCATCCTGTCATGATCACAGCATCTGCCATGCTACTTCACAGCTAATGCAGCTCCAAATACACAGTTTGTTGATGGAAATGATCTTTAGGACACAGACATTCTCTACAGCTCTGGGGCTGGACTTTGAGAGATACTCCCAGCCCACACACCCCTCTGGTCTCCTACTTGCTGCAGCCATACAGCCAGAGGCTGAGACAAACGTGCACAAACACACGCATGCACCATCCCATGGCAGAACTTGCAGCACCTGCTTTTCACCCGCCTGCATCAGCATCAGCTTTTACCTTACTGCCAGGCTTGGGGCCTCTCTTTCTGGGGAATTTCAAAGGCTCCACTGACTTGGAGGGTGTAGGCATGGGGTGATGGATTAGCGCTTTGGTCGTTCGACCACGCTTCTTCCCTGTTTTGCGACGCCTTTGCCCTTGTTGATGCCCCAAAACAGTCTTTGTGCTACTGTGCAGGCTAGGTTTCTCCGAGTTTACTTCGGAGGCAGGTAAAGGGCTCTTTGGAATCACAACTGAAATAAAAAGAGAAAAAGCAAATATAATTAAATCAGGTGAGAATCAAAACAAGAGCAGCCTCCATCTTTATACAGTGTCACATGGAAAAGCCTGGAGTATCCTCAGCCCCCTGGACGGAGGCTGCTGCTCTCCATGCCGGAATAAAAACCAGATGC